CTTCTGGGGTGAATTAGCTGCCATTCCTGGGATGATTGCCAGCTGTCTTCAATGTTTTCCACTTGTGAAAAATCTTTGACTCTGAAGAATGATGGACTCCAAAATACTTTGGAAATTACCTTTGACCTTTCCTACACTGACGAGCAGCAACTGTCTCTAAGGTCAATGCCAAAGTCTTTCCACATGGACATTGTGTCAACGCACACATGTATGTTTCAGAGCAGCAAAAGCTCTTACTTTACTAGGGGTGGTCTCACTGTTGGTACTCATTTGATTAGCAGCTCCTGGTTGATATTGTACCTTAGAAATCATGTGAATGCAGCAAGACTAGACTTAGTTGTTCACAACGATTTTTAATTTTGAATCCATAAAACCCTAGAATTGACAGAGGACACAGGGACTACTGTCATTTTCTTGTGACTGAATTAGATCAGAACTGTCATGCTTAAATTTGCACCTTTGCACTTACTTTCCATTGTAAGGGAAGAGCGTCGAATGGAAAAGAACAGCTTATGATAAAGCTAAAAGCTCAGTTAGTAAATGTGCAAAACATTTCTCCACAAAATAACATGGGAGGAGAGACAGTTTAATGTTTAATGCAACGATGATTCAAGCACTGTCCAAAAACCACAAATACCAGAATCCTATTTGGACCTAGAACGTGACTATGAAAGGCACGCAAGTAAAGTATTGCTTTAAGTGCCAAACAGCCCCGCACGGTGCACATGTGGTTTTGATCATCCTGTGTTCTGTTGATTCAAAGAGAAAGGTTGCATGTTAAGAGCTTCAGATGCTTTGAACTTGATGAATGATGCACTGAAGGGATGGATATAGCACTTTTCCTTTGGGACTTCCTAACTGTACCTGTTTGCATGCATATATACATTCTGAACAAGGAGCAGACAGCAGCCCGCCCTGCTTTGTCTGGAAACAATATTCGTTACAGTGGGAAACATTTTCTAAGGTCAGAGAAGGAAATTCCACCCTCAATTAAATATGTGGGAAAGAGAATGCACTCATGGCTTTCCTTAAGTTTGTCAGTGAGGAACTATGAAAGGGAACCCACAACGGAAATTCCACTTTAAACTTAATGTGTTTAAATCAACTTACTTTTATTTACAGCATTATTACTTCAGTAGGAACAAGCACAGTTTGAAGGTATTCTTAAAACTATGTTGCAAAAATTATGAGATTCAGTACAACACATTTTTAGGTGTAAGGCTTGAATCATTGCCTCATAAACACATAAAGTCAAAGCTCTCGATAAAGTGAGCTTAAACCCTGACAGTAAACTAAATTATTATTTTGTGACCAATGTTTTAATCAAGCGGTGTTTGCTTGATAACGCAGAAGAAAAACGGTCAAAATTGTCAGTAAAACAGGACTATTCAACTGGTGGCCCGGGGGCCAAATCAGGCCCATGGGTGAGTTCAGTTCGACCCATTCATGAGTTAATTTTTAAATAAAACTAGACTTTAAATTGTAAAACAACCTTACTGAATGAGAATAACTGTTGGATGTCTGGCCCCTGAGCTCTTGGCTTTCAGTAACTGTGCCCCCCCCCCCACCGAACAATTTAGTTGAATAGCCCTGCAGTAAAAGGTAGCAGGAGAGCCCCAGTGACAAAATATGTTATCCCATGCTGAAAGTATTTTCCAACTACAGTGTAAGGGACCTACTTCAAGGGACTCGAGACCCGAAAGTCACCTGCTTCGGATGTTATCATTCATTAAATGGCCATTACTAGTTGTTACCGTCCCCATACGTAACATTCTGACTGCCCCTCCTCTATCCCCCAAACGTAACCCTTTTCCTAAACCTAACCTTACAGGTGACCCAGAGTACTGACCCTAAACTTAACCCCCTTATCCTACACCTGACCCAGACCACTGGCCCTAAATTTAACCCCCAAACATAACCCTTTTCCTAAACCTAACCTTACAGGTGACCCAGAGTACAGACCCTAAACTTAACCCCCTTATCCTTGCGCCTAAACCTAATGCAACCCTAAACGTAACCTCCAGACCCGAATTAAACGTAACCCCCAGACCCTTGACTGTTAACCTAACCACGTGCCCGTATTATCAGCGATGAGAATGTACCTTTAAAACCTACTAGGGGTTAGGTTTAGGAAAAGGGTTATATAAAGCTAACTACAATACACTTCTGGTTTTACATGCGAGATGCGATGCATATTATCACCCATAAAAAAAGTAACTTTAAACTTACTAGAAGGTAGGAGGGAACAGTACTAAGTAATACTACCTACGGGGTTGATAACAACTAAAAACATCCATTTAATGGACTGATAACATCCGAAGTCGCTGCAAAAGTCCCAGGTTCAATCCCCAGCCATTCCCACAGGTCATGGTGTCTCTGAGCAAGACACCCAATCCCTAATTGCTCCCCGGGTGCTTACATAGCTGCCCACTGCTCCACCTGGGTGTATCCCAGGTGCGATGGGTTAAATGCAGAGAACCAATTTCGTCATTGTATGGGAACATACAATGATGACAATACATAGTACTTTATCTTTATTATGTTTTTTTTCTTTTTTACTACCATATATTCAGTACCAGTCAAAAGTTTCAACTAACTACGACTTGCAAAAACCACCGGGTGTTTCCAGAAGCTGACCATTCAAAGGAAACTGGGCTTCTGGGGCTTACAAAACCATGGATGAAGAATCTTGTCAAAGGCCCTGCTTGCACTATTTTTTTTTAACTACCGCTAATGTCTTTTTTTTTTTTCCTTTCAAAAACACATAAAAATACATTAAAACACGATAACCAGGAATAATTATTGCTTCTAGTTCACTGAATATGGTTCATAACATGTCCAAACCAGGCAAATATTGCTAATAAAAATCTTGCAAAACTGAAACATTGCTATTTGAATCTAATGTTATTAGAAATTACCAAAAAAAAAAACTAAAGCAGATTAGATTGTTATGATGAATAAAATAAAAGATTCAACCCATCAAATCCTTTTGCTCATATTGTCAAAAGGCTACAAATGAAAAGCAAACCATTCTGTTAAATGGCAAGTAATGAACTCGGTTTACTTGATCAAGACTTGATGATTGAATCTTTTTAAAATATTGTCACCGTATTGTTTTGTCATTTTTGATATTTAACAGTATTATTCACCAAAACAGTTATTAACACAATAAGGATTTTTCAGTGTGTTGTAGCAGACTGAAAAATGATACAATATACACAAGTGTAAATACACTGTACAAAGTCATATTAAGAATCTCCTAATCATATACAAATATGTACAAAATTAAACACTTTCTCCCAACAATCACCTCTCCAGCATGTAGAATATTTAGATATACATAAAACAAACCACTGTGCATTACTTAAGCCAGGCTCTGTAGCAAATTTGTACACTTTCCCTCCTCTTCTTCCTAAGGATCATTGGAGACCCTAACCCTAAGGGTCCTGAGGGTCTTTAATCCTAAGGGTCATAAGGGCCTCTGACCCTGAGGGTCATTCTGGTCTCCAACCCTTAGTGGTCATTAGAGTCTCCAACCCTGAGGCTCATTTGGGCCTCTAACCCTCAGAGTCATTCAGGTCTCCAATCATCAAGTGTCATTAGGGTCTCTATCCTGAGGGTCATTTGGGTCTCTATTGTTGATGATCATTATGGCCTCTAACCCTGAGGGTCATAAAGGTCTGTAACCCAGAGGGTCATACATGTCTCCAACCCTTAGATGTCATTAGGGTCTCCACCTTGAGGGTCATTTGAGTCCCCAACCTTAAAATGTCATTAGTGTCTCTAATGTTGATGAACATTATGGCCTCCAACTCTGAGGGTCATAAGGTGCTGTAACCCAGAGGGTCATACAGGTCTCTAAACATTATGTGTCATTAGGGTCTCTAACCCTGTGAGTCATTTGGGTCCCCAACCATAAAGGGTCATTAGAAATTCTTACCCTTGAGGGTCATTCAGGTCTCAACCCCAGAAGGTCATTAGGGTTTCTAATACTGAGGGTCATTAAGATCTCTATTGCTGAAGGTCAGTAGAGGTTCTAACCACAAGGGTTATTCGGGCCTCTAACACTCATTGTGTCTCTAACACCGAGTGTTAAAAGGGTCTCCAACCCTGAACGTCATTAGGGTCTCTAACCTCAGGAGGGAGGGAAGGGAGATTAATTTGCATGTGCATTCAGCTCAAACAAGGGTTGTAACTCAATGCAGTTTTTAATACTTGGATCACTGCTCTTTTCAATTTGTGTTTAAAAGCTTCTCAGGCAATCAGTGAAAATTAACAATAATAATTGAAAAAAAAAAGAAATAAAGAAATCTCTCTAAAATAAAATGAAAAACTCTTAGGATTTACCATGTTCTGAATGACTGATATCACACTACTAGAAATCTAGTATTTAAACTTTTTTTTTCTCGCATTTTTCATTTATAAAACAGTTTAAGAGATACAACTTGATGTCTACTGTCTAATTTTCTTCCTGGTTCTTTATTTTCTGTTGAAATTCACTTCAAACTACTCTGACTCTATCCTTTAGATTTGTGGTAATAAATTACATCACAGTATTTTGTTAAAGATTTGGCCCATCTATGTCTGCAAAACGCACAAGAAAACACATTTACCAACAGCTATTCTTTGAAATATATGAATATGAGGCGCATTAAAAAAAAAAAAAAAAAAAGGTATAGTAATTGCAGTCCCAACAAAATGACCTCTGGTTCATCAGAAACTCTGTAAGTTTTATCCACACAATGCAGAGTAGATTCCTAGTGTTAACGCATTATTGGACTCATGACGTCTTCCTCATGTCCGACAACAAAAGCTTTGTTATCAAGTTTGCCAACTCATCAAAAAGTCAGAATCCTAATGGTTTTTGTTTGTTTGTTTTGGAGGTGGAAGAGAAAAACTTCGAAAGAAGAAAGTTCGTTCTGAGTCGTCAGAACCAGTCCCTTAACTCCAACAAAACACTGGTTGGTAGAAGTAAAATTAGAATGAGCTGAACACCACCTTCACACGAAAGGGCTGTCCGATCTGAATATGTCCGAGTAGCTTTTGCCGTTTATATGCTCGGTGTGGCTTTCAATGCTGTAGCAGCGGTGGACCTCGGTGAGCGAGGATGCCACAAAAGACGCAGAGGACCGGAAGAACTCGGGATTGGCAAAAGTGCCGGCAAACTGCAACCGCTGTAGAGTCCATTGTCTTCTTAGAACGGTCTGAACCTGCGTAAAGAAAATATAAAAGCTTTTAGTGTTCTTGTTCTAACTGATGGCCTTTCACAAGGTTTTTTTTTCCCACCTACAAACTTTGGACTTGAGTTTAAGAAATGCCCCTTTCAGATATGGTTGACTCCATAGTTAATGCCAAAGATTTAAGCAGTAATCCAACACAACAAGCAGTATTTAGAGTATGCATTGTGAAGCTACAATCACAGCAAGTCTTAGTTCAATGTGTGCAAAACAGAGTGAATTTTAGTCATCCTTGTCTTGGTTAAGGTTAAGTGGTTGTAGCAGCCATCTTGAACAAAACTCCAAATGGTAATCAGTTTAGATGTACATCCAGTGATTATTTTTGGAAAGTTTAGTTAAATCTGTCCGCTGGTTTTTGCGATATTTAAGAATTTGATACCACTGATCATTCTTTATTATTAAATAAACTGGAATATTATGGTATAAGAGGTATTACCAAACAAAGGCCAAAAAGTTATATACTGTAAATAATCTATGTCAATACACTGAAATTAATAATATTGAATCACATGGTAGAACAGCAATTTGTGGCATTCCACAAGGCTCGGTTTTGGGGCCAAAGTTATTTACGATTTATTTAAATGGCATTTTTAGAGTATCAAATTAGTTTCATTTTGTACATTTGCATATGACACAGATTTCTTTTATTCAGGAAATTACATGGAAGATTTAGTATCAACTGTAGAAAGACAAATTTTATGGTTTTTAGTGGAGCTATGGTTAGTTAAAACATTAAACTGAAATTACATGAAGTTGAAACTGAAAGAGTATCTGGAACAAAATTTTAGGGAATAATTGATGAAAAACTCTGTTGGAAGCCACATATAGAATTAGATAAAAATTATCCAAATCAGTTGCTGTTGTTTATAAAATTAGAAAATTGTTAAGTAGAAGTTGTGTGTATTTGTTTAATTTTTCATTAATAGTGCCATACATGTCTTATTGTGTGGAGATTTGGGGTAATATGTATAAAACTAATATGGAACTAACAAAGAAATTTAAGAAAAAGTAACTAAATTAATAAAAAACAGTTTTTAATTCTACAAATCCACTGTTCATAGGGTGTTCTGTTTTACAATTTAGAGATATTGTGTATTTAAGGACACTGAAAATATATGCCTATAAGGCATATATATACATATATCTATATATATATATATATATATATATATATATATATATATATATATATATATATATATATATATGGTTAATAACAGTCATCTTCCCACCTGTATTCAAAGTTCTTTAAGTTATGGAAAGTAATTATCGTAGTTTCCGGCGTATAAGTCACAGTTTTTTTACATAAATTTGTCAGTTCTGCGACTTATGCGCACTCGATTCACTTATTTGGTGCAGGTGGAGGAACGCTGGAGAGCTAGCGGCTCTGGCCACGATGGATGGATGGCACCGCGTCACCCAGGCAAAATGAAGCTGTTTTGACCATTAAATAACTGCATAATAAACACGATGGGTCAGCGATGACACATAATAAATGTGACTTATACGCCAAAGCGACTTCTTTATGTTTTTTCCTCTTCATGATGCTTTTTTTGACTGATGCGACTTATACTCTGGAGCGACTTATACGCTGAAAAATACGGTAATCATTTAAACTTGGGTGTCTTTTATCTTTGAAAAAATGAGAAGTAAGAACTAATGTAAATTTCAGATGTGTTTCAGTTTGGGATGTTAAGCTGTGGAACAATTTAAGTGGGGAAATTAAGTTTAGTAACTCTCTTTTCAAATTTAGAAAAAAATTAATATGCAAGTTATTGAGGAGTTACAGTTTACGGTAATAAAAATTATGATGATAACAGTAATACCTGGAAATTTAACGTTCGCAAAATAACAATAATGAAAAATAGTAATGATTTATATTTATATGTATATAAACAAGTAAATATAGTAAGGACACCATTATCATTGTATTGTATATTTAATTTTGATGTTCTGTTTGGTCTTTTTTTCTTTTATCCATGTGTGGTTGTTGTTTTTGTATATTTTTGTGTTCTGGAGAATCCATGAGAAATTGAAAGAAGAGACATAATAATAAGCCTTTGACTTCCGTTTATTCCTTTGTGGTCATAAATGGATTAATTATTTATTTATTTGAAATAGTTCTTTTTGATATGGCTAAAATAAACCATTCATTGATAAATAATTAGTTATATATTCATTCATAATTTGAAAACAAACACACACAGAGGCAAAAACATTATTGTCCATCTTTGCATTTTGGTGATGTGCAATAAAAATATGTATCTTGGTTTGGTTAGGTAACTTGGATGACTGCAAGATTTAATATATACTTTTTTTTTGTTCATACATTTCAAAGTACAAAAAATTATTCTTAGAATAATGTACTGAGATTCGGTTGTTACTCACCTCCCCATTGAAGAAGCAGAATATTGTAGAAACCAAGAGACCCTAAATAAAAACAGATCAAAAAATAATTTTGTGACTGTACTGATGGGCTGCAAATCCTTGGATTTTGCTTTACATTTTCCCCACAAAGCTCACGTTTTCACCGACCTGGTAATGCATGAGGATGTTCATGATGTACAGATAGATCTCAGACAACCAGTGATCCTGGGGTTTGTACACGAGCAGGACGTACTGGATGCCGAGCAGAGGGATGAGGATGAGGGTCGCCCTCACCGCCCTCATGTAGAGGCTGGACTCGGCCTGGTGCGTCATTCGCAGCTTGGTGATGAGGACCCGAACGATGTTCAGCAGGAAGAAGAAGTTCACCTAGAGGTAAAAAAAAAAGAGTTGTAGATTTTCAGACTATAACAGTTTGTATTAAGTTTAAAATACAAATTTCCAGCAAATGTTTTCAAAGTTACTCACCACCAAAGCAGCACATATCGGAGCATGAATAATGTACAGCAAGGAGGTGGCCGGACTGACCCAGCATCTGTGAAAACATCGTAATATAAGCAACATCCACCTTTAAGGAATGCATAACCCCTTCCATCTTACACATCAATGTTTTAAATAGAGATCTTGCTTAATATGATGGTGCTCAGAATATGTGATGGGGATGAATCTCATCTACTATCACACCCAATTTCAGCTCATTGGCTATAAATTTGATTGAATGACAGCCATGTTTGTTCCCCAAGAGGCAAATCCTCCTAAACTGCATTGACTTTAAGGTTTCATGAGATATTTTGCTAACAGACAGACAGTGCGGACTCGTACAGTTAACAACACAGTTTAAACAAAGACCTTGTATAATCAATAAATGCTCAGGGTGTGTGTTGAGAATGACCCTCAGCTACTTTTACCCAAATGTTTAGCCAGTATCTAGTGTCTGTTCGCTAAGCTGATTAACAGTGGCAGCCATCTTGAATTAGGTTGACCACCAAAAGTTAACTAGTTGTAGATACAGCAGTCCCTCGATATTTTGCGGTTCGACTTTCGCGGACTCACTCTTTCGCAGGTTTTCAATGTAAGATTGTACACGACACACAATTGGCAATGGGGAAAGACAGACCCCACCCCTTGCCCCTCCTTTCTCTTTCTGAGGCTGTCACAGCAGAGCAGAGGTGCACAACAGCCCGCATCTCTGCTCTGCTGTGACAGCCTCAGAATGAGAAAGGAGGTGCTGGGTCTGTCTTTCTCTATCGTGACTGCTCAAGGAGCAGAGATGAACAGATCAGATGAACAAATGTAGAATAAGGGGAAAATGCTTAGGTGGAAAAATAAGAGTGAATCGGTTTAAAAAAAGAAAGAGAGTGACTGAGCGTGGCTCACTTAGGCTTAAGACAGACCCCAACCCTTCCTTTCTCTTTCCAAATCTGTATGTCACAGCAGAGAAAGAGAAAGAAGAGGACGAGAGTGGGATCTGTCTTTCCCCATCATGTCCCAGAGACACACAACAGTCGGGCGTGCAATAGACAGCCATGGAAAAAGAAAGGAGGGGTTGGGGTGTGTGTGTGTATATGTCTTATACTTGAGTGAGCCACACAAGTGGCATGAACTGTTTATTTAAAATAATCTGGCACGACCCAAACTGAGCTTTTAGGAACGACAGCAGGAACAAGAATGCTGGATACTTCAGGCACGAGGCGGTCAGATAATCTGGCAGGGAGGGAGAGACTGGGGAGTAGCGCACAGGTGCAGCAGGAGGGAGACTGGGAGTGACACAAGTGATGAGCATGAGGGTGACTGCAGCGGAAAAGTGGGCATGGCAGCGAGCAGAGATCATGACACTCTGTGCTCTTTTAGAGCATTTTACGGAGTTTAGAACATTGTTAAGAACATTGCAAGAGTGTGGGAAGAGTTTATAAAGCCTTAAAGTATATATAAATACTAAAATAATTATAACGTACGTCGTGGATTTCCACCTATCTCGGAGGTGTCTGGAACGTCACCCCCGAGATAAGTGAGGGATTACTGTATATATGTATTGATTACTTTTTGAGAGTTTCATTAAAATATGTTTAATGGCACTTGAGATATTTTGTTAACATTAACAAATAGACCTTTACATGATTGCTCAGCTTTAATGATTGCATCCATACTGTGTATGGGGTATGTATCATAAAAAACTCACTTGTCGTTGTAGTAGTAATGCCGTGCTATTGAATATATGATTGCTGGCACGAGTGGAAAACCTGGAAAATCAAGATTATGAAATTTGTAACACTTAGAAAAAGTGCAAGTAGGTTTTTTTTTTTTTAAATCAACTAAGGCTCTAACGTACCCCAGCCGAGCAGATAATACCACATGAGATGCTGTTTTTCTGCAAACACTGCTACAACGATCAGAGTGTGCAGGTAGATGCCCTCACAAAGCATCCAAAAGTAGTTACAGCTCATTATATACATTTGGATGAATGCAAGAAGCTTACAGGTGCCCTGGAAGGACATAAAAAAAAAAAAAAAACACAATTTTTTACATAATTCTACGCAATGACGCATTCCTTATCTCATGTTAAAAACTAGTCTGATACTCACAGAATCCTCCTTCTTTACGGAGAACCACACAATAGTAATGACTGAGTTGAGCACGAATGAGAGGAAAAGGTTTTTGTGAAGAGTTATCCTCTGGCAGCTCAAAGTCCTAAGAGGAATAAAAATACATCGTATTAGACACAGTTTCCCTGCCGCAATATTGTTTTTGCTCGTGTCTGCACAATAATGAATTTCACCTTGAATTAAGACGACTTACTTAAAGTAGAAAAATATTCCTAATGAAATGAGGAGGGATGTCAGGGACAGTCCATGGCCAATCAAGACCAAGTAGAGGTGTGTCATTGCTGCCTGCTGTAAACCCAACCACAAAATATTTACTCATTAATGCAGCTACCGCTAAAAAGTGATCATGTTTTATCTGGTTCTTACCGTTCCATGCAGCGTAACGTTTGCTTGACAGTTTGTATAATCTGTCCAAGTTCTGTTGCTTTTCGGGTGTCGTCCCCACTCACCCGTCTCAGTGCAGATTTTGGATGCCATCGCTGCTCAAAAATAATAAATTGATGGTAAAAATCTCAGGGGGGGAAATTCCCAAATGCCTCTCTGTTTGTTAACTGCAGTTAAATCCTGTCAGGAATCTACCGCAGTTTTCGGACTTTGACGCACCGATTATAAGGTGTAATAACAGTGAACAGGTCTGTTTTCATACATAAGGCGCATTAAGCGAAACAAAACAGTCATATAAATCAAACTTTATTCAACTCATTCACAATAAGCACATAAAATCGCTTTGAGGTCAGTAAGCACAATCAGAATTAATACATAAGGTGCACCAGATTATGGGGCCGAGATGGTGTAGAGGCAGGGCAACCGACTTGGGACCCAAAAGTCCCAGGTTCGATCCCGTCATTGCACATATGGTGTCTCTGAGCAGTACACCCTATCCCCAATTGCTCCCCAGTCGCTTTCAATAGCTGCCCTCTGCTCCACCTGAGTGTATCCCAGGTACAATGGGTTAAATGCAAAGAGCCAATTTCGCCATTGTATGGAAACATACAATGACGAAAACACATAACACATTTTAATTATTATTATTGAAAGGCTCACTGTCAATTTTTGAGAAAATTAAAGGATTCTAAGTGTGCCTTACAGTCCAAAAAATATGGTACACTATTTGCATCAAATCCTAATAAATCTTACATTTCAATACAGTTTCACACCAGTTCACACAGGTTCTTACTATTAAAACTTTAGATAGTTCAATACAGTGTCACAAAGCAATATTTACCATTTACGTTTAATTGTATCTTGTTTTAAGTTGTTCTGGTCACTGGTTGGGTTTTAGTATCAGGCGCACACACACACATGTTAGCTGATGATTAGCTTAGCTTAGCAGCCACAAACCGTTAGCCTAGCCATTCATATTCCAATGAACAACACTCTTTTAAACAATATTTTTGAATTTAAGTGTTTAATTTTGACATATATGTTTCATTTCATTGTGTTGTCCTGTTTTTTTAAACATAAGTCACTAAATGTGTTGAAAACATTATGAAACTTCAATAACTTTATGAAAATGGTGTGTGACAAAAAGCTTTTTAAAAGTGTCTAACGTAAGAATATAGAAATGAACCTTGAGTGTCAAAATCATCGTAGTAGCCGGGACAGCTTTGTTCTTTCACCCCAGCTTCAGCTTCATCCCAGCAGAGCCAACCATCCCAGGTTGTGTTGCACACCAACTCTGATTTAAACAAAAAGAAACACAACCTGTAATGTGTTGTCACCACAATAACAATGACAACCTCTGCTTTCTCATTTACAAACTCAAGAATTGGCTCAAAATTCTAAATGAAGTACATTCCAATACACATTTGGGGGCTCGTCCGGGATGATATTTGTATGTTTAAAAACATACATAAATGAACAATTAAAGTTTCAAAGGCAACTGTTCACAAAATGTAAGTCCAAGTATGTATTTTCCACATTGTGACATGATGTTTTTTGCACTTCTGCTTACCGAAGGGTTTTGTTTTGCGGTGAGATTCTTTTACAATCTTCTGGAAACACTGGAATTGGGCCATAGCAATTTGGTTCCTCATCCACTGAGGTTCACTCATGTGAGTCAAGTGCTCTGTGTGTGCGACCTCAGACGAAGCCACCAACAACAGCTGAGAAGTTAATAAAAAAGCAAGAAAGAAAATGTCAGGGGACGTCTAAAAAATTGCAACTCAAGCAGAAAAAAACATCTCGAATTATTGAGATTTCACTTGACAATGATTGAAACTATTTCTCCCGACAACGATAGCAATAATTTCAACTGATTGTTTCTATGTTGAGACATATTTCCTTCCTATTTTTTATTGTGGCCATTCATATTTAACTGTTGAGGCAAGAAAACTATCAATATAATTTGAAATACAATTTATTGTTTTCCAAATCTTGGTAGAAGTGTAACTGTAACAATTTGATCTGAGATACAAATCTCTTTTTATTTCCTTTTATAAATCAGTACACAAACAGAATTAACATCTTGAAAACAATCTGTTGAAAAAAAACAAACAAAAAAAACAGAGAACTGCACCACAAAAAGGTAATGGAAAAACATATAGCTAAACATTATTCCAGTAATCCATGAACCATGGAATCCTTAACTGAAAAATGAATAAAAAACAGATCGAGTTTCTACATTACTATTAGTTTAAATTTTACACAATATTGTTAAGTTTACAATCAGTGTTATTACTTTAATATTCAGAATTAACAATATTTTTTAAATTAGTGTATTTAAGAAAAGAATCAGGTTAATCCAATTTGTTTTAAGCGGGTTGTACTATTATTATTAATTAATTGATATAATAAAATGTTATAACATAATATAATTAATTAATTATTAATTATGCATATGTGTGTGTGCGTGTGTGTCTGTGTGTGTGTACTTTTTACTGAATTGTACGGAAGCCAATTGCTGCCATCCCAACATAAATAAAATAGAATTATGTCAAGATATAATCATTCACTTTGCTATTGTGAAATAAAATTACATTATCACTGTTTACATACATACAAATAAGTTACACATTATAGTAATGCAATATTGCCACCTTATACTAACAAACATTTGTTGAATCGTGAAAATAATTCATAACAATGTGATCCATCCATCCATCCATTATCTTCACCCACTTATTCCATTTTGGGTCACGGGGGTCGCTGGTGCCCATGTCCAGCAATCACTGTGCGAGGGGCGGGGTACACCCTGGACAGGTCGCAAGTCCATCACAGGGCCACATAGAGACAAACGAGACAAACAACCATTCACTCTCTCACTCACACCTAGGGACAATTTAGAGTTACCAATTAGCCTAACATGCATGTTTTTGGTCTGTGGGAGGAAACCAGAGCACCCGGAGAAAACCCACGCATGCACGGAGAGAACATGCAAACTCCACCCAGAAGGCCCCTGGACCGGGGTTTGAACCAGGGACCTGTTCGCCGAGAGGCAGCAGCTCTACCAGTTGCGCCACCGTGCTGCCCACAATGTGATCTAGTGATTATTTTAAAAGATATTTTGTCAGCACTTAAAATTATATTGTATAAACAAGTAAATTTAACACTAAGATGTGGAAAATATGATGATAGAACAATGAACTTTTAATTTTAAAACAAGTTGTGATTCTATTTAAAACAGATTATGGAAGCATATTGCTGCCACCCAAGCAAATATAAAGTATAATCGTGATTTAAAAAAAAATAAATCTTTTTTACGTTCTAACAAAAAATTTCACATTATTACTACTTAAGTGTCACAATAGAAAACTATTTTCATGTACCGTATTTTTCTTTGTATAAGTCACTTTTTTTGCATAATTTACATGCCCTGCGACTTATACGCCGAAGTGACGTATTTATGGATTTTTTTCCCCATATTTATAAACCAATTTTTGGCTGAGATGTCCATTTTCATTCATTCTGACTGAAAAAAATCGAACACGACCATTTTCAGCCACTAGATGGCACTCGAGTAGTAAGGCATGCCATTGTATCATGTAATAGGTAAAAGTGGCTATTAATGACACATTCAGTTTGCCATAGCCTACCACTATCGCCTGCCTGGAGCAACTGAATCAGCTTCATTTCACTGCGCCGCACTGGCGAAATGCTGCTGATTTGACTGTCAAAGTGCATTTATTATGTAAAAGTTAAACTGAGACACAGCTTTACTATAAAGTCGAGATAACAAACAAATGCTTTTAGGTGTTTTTCTTGTTAAATTTAGAAGAAATGCGCAGAGGCTCGTCCCTCTGCTTGTGCCCACTTACTTGAATTGGTTTTGAAATACAGATGATTTAATAATAATAATAATAATCATCATCATCATCATCATCATCATCATCATAATAATGTGTTATGTATCGTCATCATAGTATGTTTCCATACAATGGCGAAATTGGCTCTCTGCATTTAACCCATCCACCACAAGGTGGAGCAGTGGGTGACCTTTGTAGCTGCCCAGGGAGCAACTGGGGATGGGGTGTCCTGCTCAGAGACACCATGAAATGTGCAATGACTGGGAATCGAAACCAGGACCTTCTGTTCCTGAGTCGGCTGCCCTGCCCCTAGACCATCTTGGCCCCCATTTGGCTGTCAAAGTGCATTTATCAAGCAAAAGTTAGACTGAGACATGCACGGCGGAAAATACGGTAAAAAATTTTTAATTATCTTAATTATATACAAACCGGATTCCAAAAAAGTTGGGACACTAAACAAATTGTGAATAAAAACTGAATGCAATGATGTGGAGGTGCCAACATCTAATATTTTATTCAGAATAGAACACAAATCACAGATCAAAAGTTTAAACTGAGAGAATGTATCATTTTAGGGGAAAAATCTGTTGTTTCCAAATTTCATGGTGTCAACAAATCCCAAAAAAGTTGGGACAAGTCCATTTTTCCCACTGTGTGGCATCCCCCCTTCTTCTTACAACACTCAACAGACGTCTGGGGACAGAGGAGACCAGTTTTTCAAGTTTAGAAATAGGAATGCTCTCCCATTCATGCCTAATACAGGCCTCTAACTGTTCCATCGTCTTGGGCCTTCTTTGTCACTTCCTCTTTATGATGCGTCAAATGTTCTCTATAGGTGAAAGATCTGGACTGCAGGCTGGCCATTTCAGTACCCGGATTCTTCTCCTACGTAGCCATGATGTTGTGATAGCTGTAGAATGTGGTCTGGCATTATCGTGTTGAAAAATGCAGGGTCTTCCCTGAAAGAGATGACGTCTAGATGGGAGCATATGTTATTCTAGAATCTGAACATAGTTCTCTGCATTAATGGTGCCTTTCCAGACATGCAAGCTGCCCATGCCACAAGCGCTCATGCAACCCCATTCCATCAGTGATGCAGGCTTCTGAACGGAGCGTTGATAACAACTTGGGCTATCCTTGTCCTCTCTGGTCCGGATGACATGGCGTCCCAGTATTCCATAAAGAACTTCAAATTGTGACTCATCTGACCACAGAACAGTCTTCCATTTTGCCACACTCCATTTTAAATGACCCCTGGCCCAGTGCAAACATCTGAGCTTGTGGAGCTTGCTTAGAAATGGCTTCCTCTTTGCACTGTAGAGTTTCAGCTGGCAACGGCGGATGGCACGGTGGATTGTGTTCACTGACAATGCTTTCTGGAAGTATTCCTGAGCCCATTCTGTTATTTCTTTGACAGTGGCATTCCTGTTTGAGGTGCAGTGACGTTTAAGGGCCCGGAGATCATGAGCATCCAGTAGAGTTTCACTGCCTTGACCCTTACGCACAGCGATTGTTCCAGATTCTCTGAATCTTTTGATGATGTTATGCACGGTTGATGATGATAACTTAAAAGTCTGCTATTTTATGCTGGGTAACACCATTCTGGTATTGCTGCACTATCTTTCTGCACAATAATGGTGGAATTGGTGATCCTCTTACCATCTTGGCTTCTGAGAGACACTGACACTCTGAGAAGCTCTTTTTATACCCAATCATGTTGTCAATTGACCTAATTAGTGTTAATTGGTCTTCCAGCTGTTCATTATATGCTCAATTTCTTTTTTCCAGCCACTTATTGCTACTTGCCCCAACTTTTTTGGGATTTGTTGACACTGAAATTTTGAATCAACATATTTTTCCTTTAAAATGTTACATTTACTCAGATTAAACTTTTGATCGGTCATCTATGTTATATTACGAATAAAATATTGACATTTGCCATCTCCACATCATTGCATTAAGTTTTTATTCACAATTTGTTTAGTGTCCCAACTTTTTTGGAATCCGGTTTGTAGTTCAAATGTGATATTTTGATTTTATTTATTATATATATTGTAAAGTGAAAACATTTAATATTAGAAATATTATATATGAAAATATTACAAGGAGCCATGAAAAATGAATTGTTAAACAATAAAATTTACGCATCGTCACAATTCATGGTTTTATTTTTGTTTTTCCTCGGATTCCGTACATCAGGGATATTTACTATGAAAATAAAACAAGATCAAATTTAAATCTTTCCCGTGTTAGAAAATCTTTTTAAGGAACACATGCATCTCACATTTACCTAAATCAAACAGATGTTTTAAAATGAAACCAACTGAACATTTACCTTTTTGAGGAAGCAGAGGCCCAGCAAAGACGAGAAGCTCCTCAGATCCATCTTTGTGTTTTCTGAAAAATAAATCAAAATTAAACAACATATCAGCACATTTCTGATCCTGCATGACACATAACATGGCTATAAAACCACTCATATTCCTGTGGGATTGTTCCGGTTCATTCCCAGTTATTTTTACTTCATCAGCAGGAACAGGTAAAAACTTCACCGCAGCGGTGAATAGTTTTCCCCTCAGAACTCGCCAATAAAAGTGCTTCCTGAGCAGCTGCTGGGCTCATCCAACATAAAATGTGTCGACAGCTGGGCTGACACGTCCCTTCATGTGCTGTGCAACAGAACTCCCATTAAATCCCACTTAAAAAAAAACAAACATTCTAAACCTTTCAGATTTTTATTCGTTTTGGTTTTCAACTGCATGATGGACTTTTTAGAACTTATTAAATCACAACCAGAGCCGTCTTCTTCCAACATAGCGATCACAACGTATTCAGTATTTCATTCTGACATCTTGGAAACACCATGGAGTGAAACTACACGTCCAAACCTCTGTTGACAACATTCGAAGGTAAGGCTCCTCTTATTTTTGGGATGTCAGGGTCACAGATTTAGCCTTTGCTTCCTCCGCTCCCCACAGCTTCCTTCCTGTATGCTGTTTAATGAATGCTGAGCAAGTTTAACCAACGTGGTCCTGATCATGTTTTCAGACGTTCTAAAGGTCTTCCAAAGGTGTGTTTTGGACTTTGGCAGCTTTTTTGCTTCGTTTCCGACCAGTACTTGATTACTCTCAGAATATTGTTTTTGTTTAGTCACTTAATGTTGACCTTTGAGTCACTTAGGCATAAAAATCCCAAACTCAAGGGATGAACCAGTGTTGTGTCGACATGTTAATGAGGAACTGATTTTTACTGAATTTTTAGGGTTTTGGTCACTAGCAGTTTATCTCAAAAATACTATTTGTTTTGATGTCCTAGATTAAAAGGCATTAAAGATACAGTTTGGCAGATAGAAAAAATAGGTCAAGGGGTTATTTTATTTTATTTTTTACGTGACTTTTAGAAAAACGTTCGCCTGCTTGAGACGGATGCTTTAATTTTTGATTGTCTGCTTTTTACCTGCACAAAACCTGTTGGTATAGACTAGACTGCAATGGTTCCCAACACTGATCCTTGAGGAACACCATCCTGCATGTTTTAGTGGTTTCCCTGCTTTGACACACCTGATTTAAATGAATGGGTGATTAACAGGCTTCTGCAGAACATGAGGAAGTAATTAAATCGCTGAATTAGGTGTGTTGAAGCAGGATGGTGTTCCTCAAGGACCTGGGTTGGGAGCCACTGGACTAGAGGTGTGCAACCTGCAGCTCTGGGGCCACTCTTTGAAGCTTTGACCAGAACATACATGAAATTTAATTGTCTCGATTTTTATACCCACAACAGAAAAAGCTATTTTGGGCATGTTTTTGTGTGAAATTTCTACAAATTTTTAAATGACACTTCTAATTTTTGCTTTATTACATTAAAATGTGATATTTAGTTGTTTCTCCTCACACAGGCCTGCTGAGTTCAGTGTTTCAATTTTTTTTATCAAAATTGGTATAAACTACCTTTTTTTTCCTTCTTTTCATGATATAGCCTTTTTTTGCCCCTAAAAGGTAAAAATATCAGTAAAAGTTAAAATTCATTATTTACTTTTAGTTTTATAATGCCACTCCCATTGGTCAGAAAAGCCCCCCCTCCAGCAAACTCAAAGTGGCCCATGAGCCACCACTTGATAATCGCGGCTCTGCATGTATTTTATTTAGTGAGCGAGGGGGCAGAAATGGCTCCTATGATCAAAAAGGATGCAGGCCCTGTAGTCACCAGTTTGGAGGTAACTGTGATCATCCAACAATGTTCAGTCAGGTCATCTGGATGGTTTCTTTTTGTTGCTGTGACGTTTCGTCCTTTATCCAAAGAACTTCTTCAATCTGAGGAGCCGCCAAACAAACTGAGTCCCACAAACAACACATTCCAAAAGTAGGGGGGGGGGAAAGTTTGCTGGTGCTAAGATGGCCTCCGGGGCCTGCCCTCTCCCCTGTCAACTCCTCTGAGGCAGCCATGGCAAAGCAGAATCAGTTTGTTTGGTGGCCCCTCAGATTGAAGAAGTCCTTTGGATGAAGGGGTCTCAGGAAAAAAGAAAGAAATTATCCAGATGACCTGACTGATCATTGTAGGATTTTTACCTGGATTATTGAGTATGGACTTTGGTGTAACTGGTAACTGTGTTCATACAGACGATGTGCGATGAGGGTTGCCAGATGCATTTTAAATGTCTTATTTACCCCCTCCTTTTCTGCACACATGTTCAACAAACACAACACACACCTCCTCTTAGAATAACTTTACTCATCACATATGACAGTTTTGGTCAAAATACTATCATTTTAAAGTGACTGTATTATAGTTCATAGTTTCTTATCTGGCAACCCGGCTGGCATAGAAACTACAGAGTTTTTCATATAAACCCACTCATTTTTTGTTTGTTACCCCCAATAAACTTTATAAAAACACAAACGTTTCCAGAGGCTGTTCTCGTGTAAACGGGGCATTATAGTAGATCATGTTGACTTGGTCATTTTAAAAGGAGCTCGCATGCTGAAAAAGTGTGGGCACCCCGATCTAAGGTATTTCTGAAGTGCTTGAGCTTGATTTTTTATTTTGTTTATGTGCAAAACGTTTGATTTACACATAAGATTTATACATTTTCTCGCATTTATATCTTTAATTTGTCCTCAACAACCAAGTGAGATGCTACTTTTAAAGATGTGACTTTTCAGACTCCTCTAACTGAACGTAACATGTAGGGTCAGTCATCCAGGTCTAAACAATCCACAGAAAAAGGCGACCGGACGTCTTTTAATTGATTTTTTATTTTTTTTTAATTTCTGGAAGACGTTTCACGTCTCATTTCGAACTGTGAAGTGTAGAGTTTTAAGATTTTTAACTCTAGTGAACTGCTTCTGTGAACTTGCGTGCAAATTGATTTCACTCCATTTCTCACCCTCGTCAGTCCAAGATCCTATGGCAACCATCAAGAGGGAGGGGAGGGAGGGAGAGCAGTCTGCATGTGAGTTCAGCTTTAATAGAGCAAGTCACTGAACATAACCCTTGTCTGTTTAAACAGTGACTTAGCATTCCTTGAAGGAATCCATATCGCCCACTGTGCCCCCCAAGAAATTTAGTTGAATAGCTCTATGCTAGAGGTTCAACCAAATATTTGATGTTGAGAGATAGTGGATATATAGTGATCAGATCAATGAAAATTCCTGTTATCACTCAGAGTTGGTGTTGATGATGCTGCTCAGCTACTCCCACAACAAGTTTTAGTTTTCTATCTGAAAAACGGACTTTGTGGCAGCCATCTTGAATCCAGTAGCCTTTAAAAGGCCATCAGTTGTAGATGGACTGAAAATGAGCCGAAACGCAGCCAAAGTCCACAGAAAACCCACTGGAAGGTTTGGAAAGTTTGCAGAACTGTTGTCCAAGATCACTTTAAAGCAGGGGAGTCAAACTCAGTTACATAAAGGGGACAGAATTAAAAACTTGGTTCAAGCCAAGGGCCAATTTCAGTCGATACAGTCAGACATGTTTTCTTGATTGCAGGTTCATCAACAAGAGTTTAACTGGTCCCATTTGATGCTCTCTGTTGCTTTTTTCACATCAAAATAAAAGATTACTGAAAAATCCAACCCTTGTTCTGGCTTCAAAGTTAAACTATCCTGAGATGTCTGCACTAAATGAAGTATTTAGTAGGTTTTTGTAAGCAAAGTGAGAAACAACCCCCCAAAAAACCCCATTTTGGCCAGATACGATGTTAACGAGGGCCAGATTTGGCCCACGGGCCTCGACTTTGACACATGTGCTTTAAAGGAACTGAGAAAAAGTTCAATTGCTTGGAAGGAAAATGTGAAAAACAAAAACAAGGGATGGTTTAAAACGTGCAAGAAGCGGAGAAAGCGACTTTTGATGTGGGGAATAACTGGAAACCTGTTCAGAAGTATAACGTTAAAGAACCTGTATAAGAATTTACCTAATAATAACAGTTTCTTCAAATCCCATCAATGCTGCCTTAAAATGATCCCTTGATGCTTCTTTTTTCTAAACATTAGTTGCGTCATTTTTTTTTTTTTTTGGTCCAGCTCAAACAACGAAAACGAACAAAAACCTCCTAAATAAGGAGGTCTTTGACTCTTTTTAGAATCCAAGCATCTTAACTTTGTAAAAAAAATAACTCAGGTATTCTATGTACTATTTATGTTCTTTAAGATCACACATATTTATACTTTTCCATAAGAGTATTAGAAACACTCTGGAGCCTATATGCCTCCTTTCAGCTGGGTTTGGCAGCTTATTGTTGTCAAGCGTGACAAACGTTTAGGCGTTTTAAACCTTTAACAGCTGTAAAACACTCATGTATACGCACGGTGTTGTTTCTAAGGTTAAAAAAAGACAACCAGGTCGTTAATTAGAGGAGCTTACCTTGAAACCAGCTGGGGAAAAAAAAAAAAAACAGAGCAAAGAGTAATCCTTTAGTTTGAGCGTTTTTTTTTTTTTAATCAGCCGAAAAGGTAAAAAGCAAGAGACGGTATGAGTTCCTCAGAGTGTGTGTTCCTCACTGAGCTGAGCTGGGCTGATAAAACCTGACTGAGGCTGGACATGACATCACATGCCTGCCTTTTGTGGAGAAACATCCCAGGAGAGTAATGATGAACACTGAAGGCATCCTAAAGCCTCTGCTTAACAACCAACAGATGCTGTTCTGCCTACGAGGCGTAAATTATAGATATATGAAAGAATCGGGGGTCCATGTATGTATGTATTAAGTGTGACGTTTAGGGTTAAATTAGTCATCATTAAAAAATATGATATAAAGGCACATGAAAGTTGGATACAGCCAATACTAATTGTAGTAGTATATTTTATTTTTATTAGTTTTATTTTATGTTTGTGTCATAATAATGACAAACCATGCATTCCTCTAAATATTTTGCATTTTTCACAACAAATACAAAAAAAAAAAAAAAGAAGCTTAAAGCAAAAGGTTTCAATGTATTCGCAACAGCGCCATCTGTCGGCTATAATCTGCATAGCAACGGTTTCCACGTTACCATAGCGACGACTTTTTTTTTCTTCTTTTAAACAGCGATTCAACGCCGCCATTAACAGGTAACTGCAGGCCAAAAGTACGAGTTTTTAACTAAAATGAGATTTTAGTCCATTAAAACAGGTAGGAGTTTATGATTTTTATTTCTTGCTGATGTTCAAACAATTCGTTTGGTGTTTTCTGGTTTTAACTCTGTCAGTTAAAAAGCAGGAGATGTTGGTCAACTTGAAGGTGGCTTTCGATAAAAAAAATAAAATAAACGACTGAATTTTTAGTTTTTGGGCCCAGGGGAGGATTCTAGAATCAGACTTTTAGGGGTGCTTAGCCCCCAGTGCTGGCTCATTTCTCCACCAGCTCATGATCTGTCCATCCCATCTCAGTGTGTGGCTGTGTTTGACCACTTTGAGCCCATCTCTCTGTCCTCTCTGGAGCAGGTAATGTGCAGCATGAAGCCATCTGGTTCCCCCTTTGATGTGGTCCCCCCTCGACTACTAAAGGAAGTTTTTCCTACCCTGGGTCCTTTTATCCTCGCTATTCTGAATAGCAGTTTATCCTCAGGTGTGGTGCCAAAGACTTTTAAACATGCTGCTGTCCAGCCCCTCTTGAAAAAACCTAACCTTGACCCCTCAGTCATGTCCAACTTCCGGCCTGTCTCCAGACTCCCATTCACCTCTAAACTACTGGAAAAAATTGTGGAGTCTCAGTTGAAACAGTTTTTGGGGGATCACGCTATCCTAGAGTTATTCCAATCTGGCTTCAAATCTCTCCATAGCACTGAAACTGCTCTACTGAAGGTTTTTAATGACATTTTCATATCCACAGACGCAGGTGATTCTGTGTTGCTTGTCCTATTGGACCTTACATCTGCTTTTGACACCATCGACCACAATATCCTCATTTCTAGACTGGAGCAGTGGGTGGGCATCACAGGGTCAGCCCTTAAATGGTTTGGGTCCTACCTCTCTGACAGAACCTTCTGTGTCAATATCAAAGATTTTAGTTCGGCATCGACCGCACTCCAGTGGGGGGTACCGCAGGGGTCCATCCTCGGTCCCCTTCTCTTTTCTTTATACCTGCTGCCACTAGGTGCTATCTTCCGCAAACACGACATACCCTTTCATTTCTATGCCGATGATTGCCAAATTTACTTCCCCCTGAGGCACAGAGGCACACGCTCTATTCAGCCTCTTCTTGACTGCCTGGCTGACATCCGGGACTGGATGGCTTAAAACTTCTTAAGCTTCAATGAGAAGAAGTCTGAAGTCATGCTGTTCCATCCCAGTGGCTCACTCATGAACTATGACATTGACCTTTTCTCTCTAGCCCCGCTAGAGAAACAAAAGGTGACTAATCTGGGGGTGATAATGGACCCGTCCTTAAAACTCAACAGTCACGTAAACATGATGGTCAAATCTTGTTTTTTTCAGCTGAGACGGCTGTCTAAGCTGAAGCCTATACTCAACAAAAAGAACCTCGAGACAGTGATCCACGCCTTCATAACATCTAGGCTTGATTACTGCAATTCACTTCTGTTTGGAATCAGTCAGTCTTCCATTGCTCGTCTACAACTGGTCCAAAATGCTGCAGCCCGATTTTTAACTGGTACAGGCTATAGAGAGCACATCACGCCAGTTTTGGCCTCCCTGCACTGGCTACCCATTCACCTTCGGATCCATTTCAAAATTCTCATGTATGTTTTTAAATCACTGAACAGTTCCGCCCCATCCTATCTCACTGATCTTCTGCAGCCATATGTCCCACCGCGCTCTCTGAGGTCAGCAGACCAGATGCTTCTCTCAGTCCCAGAAACCCGTCGTAAGCTCAGAGGTGACAGGGCTTTCTCTGTTGCAGGTCCACGACTGTGGAATGAGTTGCCACTGAGTGTCCGGCAGGCTCCCACACTCTCAGTCTTTAAGTCTCGCTTGAAGACCCACTTCTATTTGCTTGCCTTTAACACGGTGTGATTTGTTTTGGTCCGGTCTGTTCTCTACTCTGTTGGCCATTTTAGTTAGCTTCTGCTGCTATTTGTATCTGTATTTCTATTTTATGTTTTCCTGTCTGCTGTGCATGTTTGGTTCTTTTGTACAGCACTTTGGTTGGCCTTGTTGCTGTTTTAAGTGCTATATAAATAAATTGGTATGGTATGGGTATGGTATGGCTTAGTTTGAACACTGGTGGCCATTGGCGTAAGAAGCATTCATAACTTGGGGGGCCACACTGATACGGGGGTCGGGGGTCCTCCCCCAGAAAATTTTGAATAAAATAGATGCCACTTCCTGCATTCTGGTGTATTTACAGGTTGTTAAACATCTACGTTTACCTACATAAGTAAACACCATAGAGAGCATGGCACAAGAAGTAGCGCTAAGCTAGCAGCATGCAGCACAGATGCGCTAGGTAAGATGCTACTGATGTAGCGCTCTGCTTTAAATTACACAACCTAATAAATGCTTTGTACAAAATCAGTTTAGTGTTAACCGATCGTAAGAAACAAGGATTGAACTTATGCAACCAGAAGTTACAACATACTACTTTTAAAACACACAAAACATAGCATAGCTAGCTTTAAGCATTACCCTTTAATTTAACCATTAAGCATAAAATGTAATTATGATAGCAAATGGAGGATTTACTTGCAGTACCTTACAGACGAATGCGGTACTTCCTGTTTATCACTGCTGTATTCAGCTGCTCATGAGGTCAGCCGCAGGGCTTTACCGTCTTTTACATTTGTGCAGACTCAGTTTAGGTTTTGGAAATAGAATAAACTGTATTCCATCCTCTAAACACTCAGGGCAACACTTTCTGAATTACACATTCTCCACTGACAACGTTTCACCATTTTTTCTGATGATTTTTCATGAAATCACTCTGACCGTAAAGTGCAAAACCCCAACAATGTTGTTGGAGAAAAAGTGGGTGGAACTCCTGCAGGTAATGGGCATTTCACTTCCGGACAAATTGAGGTTGCTGATTGGTCATTTGCTGACAAGCCTGTTGGACTGATTGACAGGTGGTGTGGAGGAAAAAAAAAAAGATACATTATACTTGGCTTGCTTAAGACTGTCATAATTTATTCCAAATGTATTCAATATTTTGGTGAATCTAAGGTTTGAGAACTGAGTTTCCTTACAAAATAAAAAAAATACAGGTGGTTTCTTTATTTTGTAGGGGTGCTGAACTAAAATTCAGGGGTGCTTGAGCACCCCCAAAAAGAGGCTAAAATCGCCACTGGTGTTTGGGTTATTTTAAAGAAATCACCCATAATTACACCTAGACTGATCAAACCTGGACCTGATGTTCTCTGTACTAGAAGCAAGCTCTTTAAAATACAGCTAGAGTTATGTGAAACCTTTATTTTACACGTATTTGCAAAAGTTCAAGGAAGGATTCTTCTATTTGGGGAGCACACTGGAAGAGGTCCAGTTGAAAAACTACAATACGAGACTGTCCAGACCTAAACAAAATTATTCTATAGGAAAAGTAGAATCAGTAAAACACAGTTTACAGGTTTTAAAATGTGAAAAATTTAATAAAATAACTTAAAAAAATGATATGACTTTTTAGCATATGTAATAGGGATGCACAATATTGTATTTTTAGCCCAAATCTAATATGTTTAAACTTATTTGGCCGATAACCGATACTGATATTTGTTTTCTAGATATACAGAGACTACATCGCGTCCTCTGCTGTGGAATTAAAATACTACATTATTCTGCATGGTCTTTGTCAGTTTGACCTGCTACCAAATGCAGATGACAAAAAGGGGCTGAAAATGATGCAACACTTCAACTTGGATTATGTTTAATGTCAAATTTATTCATGACATTTACTCTCTAACACAATGACAACACTGATTCATACATGGACGGACGGACGGACGGACGGACGGACGGACGGACGGACGGACGGACGGATGGATGGATGGATGTCGTGCATCCCTATCTGGAAACATATTGAAAAATGTCCAGTTTACCTAAAAAGTAGTACATTTGAAGTTCTTTTTTTGCAAGTACATTTTAAGTTAAGTATATCAAGTATACTACACACCATACTTCTAGTGTACTAGAAAGTATACTGATTTAATACTTGTTTGGACTAAATTGGGACATTTTATACTAGTTTTAAGTATATCCAATAAAGTTTATAAAAAGTAAACTTCAAGTACACTTCCTCATTTTTTGTGTAAAATAAGTATACTTGCAGTACACTTAAATAAACTACTTTTTGCTAAGGGTTGCCTATATTATTCCTTATTAAAAGGAGGTTATTTAAAACACAATGTGTGATTCATTAAACATTTATTCTATTTGTAGATTTTAAGAAATGTCCATTTTAGTGCTTTTTTTGGGGGGGTGGGCACCACATTGCGAGGTCTATCGAAGTCTATCTATCTAGCTAGCTATCTGTCTAGCTATATGTCCAGCTATATGTCTAGCTATATGTCTAGCTATCTGTGTA